CACAAGCAATGATGCAGGATGCAGGGATATCACAGGGTGGTGGGTGAAAAGTCTTGTGGGTCCAATGGCAGTGCACACATGTCCAGAGCTCTGGCAGGTCTCAGAGTAGCCCGCAGGCATAAAGGTGAAGGGGGTAGGGGGTGGGGGTGGGGTGGCCTACCCTCCAGAGAGCCATTTATCTTGGTCATACCTCCAAAGGAGGTCATCAAGCTGCGACCTGATTGACAGGTTAAACTCCACCCATATCTTCTTACAGGTGCCATGTTAGCACACAAAAAAACGAATGATCACAGAGGGTTGCCTTCCTTTGCGCTGCCCTCTATTTTACCAACCCTGCTGTTCTTTTCTAGTGATTCATCTTTTCAAAGGCACGCCACCATTGCCTTGAAGGATTCTGATTGTATTCCTTCCTTCCTTCCTTCCTTCCTTCCTTCCTTCCTTCCTTCCTTCCTTCCTTCCTCAAACTTTTTATTGTGAATGGGGTTAAGGTTTACAAAATGAATCCGTTTTCCATTCAATAATTCATACACATTTTGTTTCATCTCCTTGAGTGCAACCACCACCAGGGAACGTCACCTATCCCTCTTCCTGTGTTTTTTTTTTTCATTCCTCTTTCTTTCCTGACCTTTCTGAACTTGGGCCTTTGGTAAATGCTGCCCTGTAGATCTCAAATGGTTGCTTATTCTAAGGAGTGCATACCTTCCTCGTGTGATTGTGAGCCGTTTAGATCGGGCAATTGTTTGGCTGAATATTGAGAGGGGCATTCATTCCTAGATCTGATGGGTGGCTAGGGGTCACAGTATCAGGGTTCCACAGGTCTCAGTTCAACCAAATGAAGTTCGTCTTCTTATGACTTTGAATTTTGTTCCACTCTTTTCTAGCATTCTCTCCAGGACCTTCTAATGCAAACTCTTGCAGAACAGTTGGTACTGGTAGCTGGGCATCATTTAATTTTTTTTCTGAGTACATTTCTCTTAAGGCTGATTTGTTTATTTGTTTCAAGCCCAGATTCATATCATCCCTGTTGTCTCAATTTCTCTGTGGGTGATTATCCCCCATGCCATCTTCTCCGAAAACCGCCCTGCGTGGAGTCTCTGTTAAAGGAATGGTCGCGTACAGACTGAGAAACAGATCAGTGTGGAACACAAGCAGAGGCTTTGGCATCAGGCTTTTCTGTGGACAAGCTATGTGATTTTGTACAAAATTAGTTACCTCTCGGTTTGAGTCTCCTGATATGTGAAGAGGGCCTAGTATTATCTACCTTGCAGGATGAGTGAGGTTCTCTCCATGTCAAGCCGTTTGATCTTAAAACCGTTTCTTTATTTCTCGCTGAAATTCTGTTTTCTCAGCTTCTGAATGCTTCCTTCAGAGAGGGAAGTGAAGATGAATCCAGATAATACATGTCCATGAAGCTAGCCGCATGCCCAGCACAGAGCAAAATCAAGAACAAGTTGGGGGTTGGGAGGAGGGGTGATGCCGTTGCACAGTCTTTACAGTTAATTTTTAAGGAGTTTCTTTTCTCTTCTCACCTTTTCTCTCTCTAGGACAGCCTGACAATATTTAGTTAGCATGTCTCCCAGCTGTGACCCCAGATTCTTCCTGGTGGGTGGAACGTGACACCATGTCAACCTGACTCTCATGCCAGGCATTGTTCAGTCCCAGCTACGACAGCAGCTACCTCCTTACAATAAGCGCTTTGGAAACATTTAGCCAACTGTTTACCATTCCCTGTGGGCATTTCAATTGCTATTTTTTAAAAAAATAGTTTTATTGGCATATACTTCACATATCATACAATGTAATCTTTCAATTATATTAAAAACAATTGTATGATCATCACCAGATTCAATTTTAGAACATTTTCTTCTCATACTCATTATTGTTAGTTCTCCATCTCCCTTCCCCTCCCCCAACCTCCTCTGCCATGCCCCTAGGTTAATCCAGTCTCTATAGATTTACCTATCCTGGATTTCCTATACAGAAACCGCTGCCCTGATGATTCGCAGTCTAACTTGTATCCCACTACACCACCAGTAGCCAGCATGTACTGAGGACTTCTATGCATTGTCGTCTATAGGACAGGGCAGCGCAGCCAGAGCTTGGCTGGTGGTTTGACTGGAAACCAAACTCACTACCATGTAGTCGTTTGTGACTCAGTGACCCTGTAGAGTAGCTGCCTCTGTGGGTTTCTGAGATTGTAGCTCTTAACGGAGGATAAAGCCTCATTTTTCTCCTGAGGAGCAGCTGGGTTGTTTCGAACTGCTGCTGATCTTGTGATTGGCGGCCCAATGCATAACCCACTATGCCACCAGGGCTCCTTGAGCAGTAGAGGGTGTGTGTGTGGCAATTAAAACCTAGGCCTCTTCTCTGCTAGCAGAGGGTTCTTTCCACCACTTGCAAGTTCTAGTGCAGAGTCAAGGTCAATTTCAATGGCATGCAGTATGTCAGATAAGATGGATAGGTTGCCATAGGGACAAAAGTAGATGGCTAGTTAACAGTAAACCCGCCTTTGGCCTCATTGTATTCAAAGAAGGGGCTTCAGAGAGGTCACGGAAAAATTCTGTGATCCTATTTTTCCACATCAGTTTTGAAATCCTCTCGTTTTTTTGGTCCTGTCCTTAGAAATAAACAAAGGACTGAAACAGGAGTGTGCGGAGGAATAAAGATGCTGCCGTCTAGAACAATCTACCACAGAAGCTTACGTAAAAGATGGAGTTTTTTTTTTAACAAAAAAGATGGAGTTCTATACATTGTTGTAGAGAAGGGGGCTTGAGAAGCATTGACATTGTGGTCATCGAAGCAATCAGCACAGTCTCTTGCTTATAGAAGGTGACTTCCAGTTTCTCTCAAGACATTTCGTAAAATCTCCTATGGACCCTTTCCTTTTTAAATTTCTCTCTTTGTCTCATGCGTGCGTGGGTGCAAGTGCTTATTAGAAAAATGGATATTTTGCCAGAAAATGGACTACTGCATGGATGAGGAGAAAAGGTCCACAAGTTGCGCCGAAATATTTTTTTTCCCATCACGACCAGGCTACTGCTCATTCTTTGTGTGTAGCAAGGGCTGTCCTCGGAGAATTCCATTGGGAAACCTTATCCCATCCACCCTAGAGCCCTGGTCTTGCTCCTTCAGCCTTCTTTTTGTTCCTCAAGCTCAGAGAACATCGAAAAGGGACACCATTAGTCTCGCCAGGATGCGGAAGCCTGCCATTTTGAAGTAGCAGAAATCAAAGCGTGCAGGATTCTTCGGAGAAGTGTGAGAAAGATGGAAAACACCACCTAGATGGAGGCTATGGTGAGAAACAATAGCTTCACATGTTGCTTCTGTTTGTTAATACAGGCTTCTATGGTTTTATAGCAATACTTCGTGACTCACTCTAGTATTCTCCTAAATGAAAGCAGACATTGACCAAAACAAACAAATGAAAAAGATAATAATATTTATGAAAAGTTCCTCTGTGTAACTTTATGCATATTACTGTGATTCCTCCTTATACTCACTGCCATCAAGTAGATGCTGCCCCTGTGTGTTTCTGAGACTGTCACTCTTGACAGGAGTCGAAAGCCTCATCTTTCTCCCAAGGAGCAGCTTGTGATTTCAAACTGCTGACCTTGTGGTTAGCAGCACCACCCCCTACACTAACATATCGAATATGGCAAATGCGATGGGATGTCATTTCCATAATGAGGTTACCAAAAGAGACTAATTAACATCCATCATCCTGATACTCTCTTTAATTGCCTTTCTAGCTAGGACACTTTTTGCTGTTGCTCTTGCTGCTGAATATATATATTTACCAATTTAATAATTTTTACATGTTTAATTCAGTGACATTGTCCTGTTCCAAATGACTCCTCCTTCATGAACAGAAACTCACTGCTCCTCAGGCTTCCAATCTTGCCTTTCAACTGGCTGTTGTCCATTGATCTCACATAGATCTTTTAAATAACACCACCAGGCTCAATGAAGACATCCTTTAATAATTAAACTCTCACTTGGTTTACACACTAAGCTGCTAACCAAGATGTTACTGGTTCAAACCCACCCCAGAAGCTTGATGAGCAAAAAGGCCTTATGATTTGCCCCCATAAAGGTCTACAATGGGCAGTAAGCATATGAAGAAATGTTGGTGTTCATTAGCTGTAAGAGAAAAAAAAGGCAAAACAATGAGGCTCCACCTCACATTGACACTCAACAAAAAAATTTCAAAAAAAATAAATCAGCAAATAAGAAATGCTGGAAAGGATGTGGAGAGTTTGGAACATTCATACATGCCTGGTAGGATTGCAGAAATGTACAGAAACTATGGAAAACAGTATGGCAGTTGCTTAAATAAATGCAAATAGAAATACCTTGATTCTGCCATCTCTCTACTTAGTACACACCCTAAAGTAATAAAAACAAAACAAAACACAGACAAATAAATGCAAACCTATGTTTATCAAAGCAATTTCTGTATCAGCAAAGAAAGATGAAAACCATCAAAAACCCCATCTGGAGAAGAATGGATAAACTGGTATATACACATAATGGAATATTATACATCCCTTAAAAACCATTGAGGGGTCTATCCAACACCTCATGACATGGACCAAACTGGAGGACATTATGCTCAGCAATGTTAGTGAATCTCATATAGATAAATAATACTTCATGACACCATTCATTTAAAGAATAAAACTTTGTTTTTCACACCAAAGGGCATGACTTTGAAGATTTTGATGAGGCAAGGGGCGGGTGGGTGGGGGTGGGAAGGGATGGCTTTGAGGGGAGGGAGGGTAGACAGGTGGGAAAAGAAAAAGAGAAGAATCAGAAAGAACCAAATTGGGAGGGGGTTCCTGGGGTATTACCACTCTTCAGATGCAATGGGCTGTCCCACAATACAGAGTATGCTTTTCTTCATATGTGTTATATTCCATACATAAAAGCAAAATAATAATAATTTTAAAAATAAATAAATTTGAAAAGTAGAGAGTGAGAGAAGGATCACAGCCTAAAAATCCCTCCAGATTCCTTACCCACCAGATCTAAACCCTGGTCTGAGTGGTTACAAAAGGAGGCAAAATAAAACTGAACCTGACTTCAATTCTTTCGTGACACGGGCTAGTTTCAAACAAACAAATGAATAAACAAAATGATAACAGCCTAGGAAATCCTATGATGCCATTCTCTTTTGACCCAGAGGGTCATTTTTTGATTTTACTTCAGGGTAAACGTTTCAGGGGATTATAAAGCTTTTAATAGCTCCAGAAAACCCGGATTTCTAGAAAATTTGAATTTCTGTTCTGCTTTTCCCTCCCCCTTGATCAAGATTGTACTACAGAATTTCGTATCCATATTTTCAGTAATGGTTATCTTTGGACATTTTAATGCAACAAACTGCTGCATTAGAGAAGTCATGCAGCAAACAACCAAGGGCAGCCTTTGACAATAGCTAGCAAGGAGTTCTCTGTCCAAACAGCCACAAGAAGGTGAATCCTTCAACTCTGTGCAGTATACTTAAAGTAGACCCTTCCCCATTGGAGTCTTTCAGTACCTACAGCCACAGGCCACACTTTGATGTTTTCCCTGTTGGAGACCCTGAAGTATAAGACTCAGCGACATCATGCCTAAACTCCTAAAGCCCAGACCCATGAAATAAAAAAGGCTGTTCCTTCAATGCACTGCACTGGGGAGTGATTGTGTTACCCAGTAATGGACAAAGAACCCAATATAATCCCAGCTAGTAATTTCACCAGTCTTCTGCTTTCCCGTGACCAAACAAATCCCTGGCATAGCACTTGAGAGAGTGGAGGGGGGAAAAAAATAAAAAAAATGTAGATGAACTTTTTGTCACTCCAGGGAAAAGCATCGAATCCCAGGAAGCTCATAGATGGCTGAATGTTTCCACTGCCCTGTAATCTTATAGAAACAAACAAACACCCGATGTTATCTAGTTGATTTTGACTCATGGAAATCCCAGGTGTGTCAGAGCAGAAATATGCTTCACAGAGTTTTCAATGGCTCAAAGTAGAGCACTGGGCCATTGCTTCAAGATGCCGCTGGGTGAACAAGAACCATGAACCCAAGCATGTTGACTGTACTACTCCATCGGCAATGAAGGGCATGGAGGTGGACTTGTCTGACCCCCTCTGACTTCCCCATTGCTATGAGACAAGGGTCACACCAGCCTCTATGGTCTGTCCTTCTTTCCCTACTCTGATACCAACCACTGCTCCCAAGCCACTCCACATCTAGGCCAAGTTGGATCATTCATTGCAGTGGCCAAACAGGACTCACAGACACACTCACAATCAAGGCGCATTAGTAAGGGAGTTAACAAATACTCCAAGTCCAGGTCAGCAAACAGTAAGGACACATTCACTGGTCTCCTCAGCTAGCAGACACGTCTCTCTCGGGCTCTTAGTCTCTCAGCTACATGGCCCCTTGACCTCTGCTTACATGGGCCAGGAAGCCTGCTCACTGTCACTGTCCCACAGTTCTATAGTCTCTGATCAGATAAGGAGAAAGCACCCATAGTCTTGATGCTGCTCCTTTGAGTCTTCATGCCATGGTCTGTGATCCATCTGCCCTCTGCAGCCTCCGCCACTTGAGACAGAGATCTTGAATGTGTTCTTCTAAGGTGCTCTAAGCTTTTCTCCTCTCTACTACTACTTCAAAGACAGCGCATCCTTACCGCCTGTGGGTAATGATCATGGAAACTGGCCAAGCCTTTCTATTAGAGTTGTATACACCCAGTTTGCAGAGTCCCACCCAATCATCTGGTGGGAGTTCCAGAGACTTGGGTTGGGATTGTTTTTGTTCCGTGTCATTGAGTCGGTTCCGACTTCTAGCAATCCTATGAACAACTGAACAAAACACTGGCCGGTTCTGTGCGACCCTCACAATGTCTGAGCCCATTGTTGCCGCCACTGTGTGTCAAACCATCTTGTTCGATGCCTTCACTTTCCCAACCACGATGTCCTTCTCCAGGGACTGACTCTCCTGATAACATGTTCAAGGACTGGAGACCGAGTCTCACCATTTCATGGCTCTAGCACCATTCTGGCTGGACTTCCAACACAAGAGTAGTTTGTTCTTTTGGCAGTTTATGGTACTTTCAATATTTTTCACCAGCAGCACAATTCAAACGCATTGATTCCTCTTAAGTCTTCCTCATTGCTGCATTTTTCTTCATATAATCCTCCCAACTGGACCAATAAGCAGAAACTTTTCTCCTTTTCTTAGGAGGCTCATTTTTGGTCCTGTTGAGAGGGTTTGGGTTTTCCTTACATTGAGATGTAATCCATACTGAAGGCTGCCATCCTTGATCTTCATCAGCAAGGGCTTCAAGTCCTCACTTTCAGTACGCAAAGTTGTGTCAGCTGCATATTGTAGGTTGTTAATATGCCTTCCTCTGATCCTGATGCCGCATTCCTCTTCATATAATCCCGTTTCCTTGGTTATTTGCTTAATATACAGATTAACTAATGAGAGGCTATAACCCTGTTGCGCACCTTTTTTGATTTTATTTTTGTTATAATTATCTGTTTTATTAGAGTAGCCTGATCACCCATGATCTCAAATCATTCAAACAGTAAACCAAATATAATCAGATCCCAACTGATCTTTGTGAAGGGCCCCAAAAATAACAAATGGAAACAAGTGGTACACAATGGTAAAATAAAAGTGGTGCATGTACCGTATATACTCAGGTATAAGCTGACCTGAATATCAGCCAAGGCACCTAATTTTATCACAAAAACTGCATTAAAAACATGCTGGAAACATGACTTATACTTGAGTATATATGGTAATTGCCAAGAAGGTGTGGCATTGGAAATGATGATATAAAGGCTTACTATTCTTCTTGGGGTTTTTGGTTTTGTTTTGTTTTTTAAAGAAAAGTTATTACGATCTATTTTGTGAGGCAGGTTTACAACACTACAAGTCTGGACTGAGAAGGAAAGAAAAAAAAACACTTAAAAACCGATGAAACACACAACTTTCTTCTAGTTCTTTATTGCTTCCCTCCCCCCACTATCACAATTTCAATTCTGCCTTACAAATTGGATTAGACCAGAGCATGCACACTGCTACACGTAAGAGCTCAAAACACAGGGAATCCAGGATAAATAAACCCCTTAGGGCCAACAAGGCGAGTAGAGATACCAGGATGATTAGGGGAGGGTGGGGAGAGAAAGGGGGAATTGATCACAAGGATCAACCTATAACCCTCCCAGGAAGAACAATGGAAAAGTGGTTGAGGGGTGATGGAGGGTGATGTAAGATATGGTCATAATAATCTATAACTTATCAAGGGTTTGTGAGGGAGGGTGGGCGGAGAAGGAAGGAGGAAGAAATGGGGAGCTGATATCAGGGCCTCAAGTGAGAAGAGAATGCTTTGAAAATGATGATGGCGGCATATGTACAAATGTGCTTGACACAGTGGATGAATGTATGGGTTGTGATAAGATATAAGAGGTCCCAATAAAAGGAAATTAAAATAAATAAATAAATAAAATAGAAACACAGGAAACCAAAAGAACAACAACAACCAATATCCAGATTTTTAAAAAAGATCATAGTCTTAGGAGTTTATTTAAGCCATAGGAACTTTTCACTTATCTCATTTTAGCTGTACCAGTCAGTGATTAAGTATTGTATATACTCAAGTATAAGCCGACCCAAATATCAACTAAGGAACCTAATTTTACCACAAAAGCTGCATTAAAAATGTGCTGAAAAACTCGGCTTCTACATGAGTATATATGATAAAATTACAAGGTGTATGGGCTTTATCGTTTATGAGCTTAATAAAGTATAAGTATGCATTACCAGCAGGGTGTTCTTGACCCTGACTATTGTATAAAAACAAATCTTGATATCCAGAATCATATGAAATTTGTATCTTTCTATCCTGCCCATTTTTGTAAAACTGCAGTCATCTTAGACATTTTAAACACAAATTTTAAACTGGTTACTGTTTATACTACGGTGTATTTTTTATTATAGCAAACAATGCTTTCTTTTCCAGTCATCTTTGAGAATAGAGGGGGGAAATCTTCAGATGCAATGATTTTGAGTACCATCTTGTCTATTATGTTTTGTAAATGCTGGAGAAGCTTTGACCAATTTGACTTAGAGATGGAATGTTAACTTTGCTTACAAAAATGGCTATTAAGCTCCTGCTTAAAGTGTTCTAATTTTCTGTGAGCACACTAAAAGCAAAAAATAAATGTGAACAAAATGTAAAAGAAAAGAAAAAAGATTGGTCTTCAGACATCATAGCCAATGATGCCTCGCTTGCGTATGATCTCGCCAATATAAAACCATTCAGTAGAATTTCCTTAACTGTGTGAGCTGTTTGAAGGGATAAGTCTGAGCACTATTGACTGGGTGTTTTTTTTTCTTCAGGCTCTGAAAAGATGTAGGGATCCATCAAGTTTTGGAGAGGCTAGCTCCACCTGGGCATAGTGCCAAAATGTGGTCATTTGAGGTTTCGAATAACTCACAGCAGCATTTACCATCACTGGAGACTTCTGCACCAGGTTACAGATAAATTGGGTCATGGCATGGGATAGGGGGAGGTGGGGGGAAAGGAAGTGGTGTTAACAAACCCAGGGACTAGGGAACAACAAGTGATCCAAATTGGTGGTGAGGTGGGTGTGGGAGGCCTGGTAGGGCATGATCAAGGGTAATATAACAAGGAGGAATTTCTGAAACCCTGGTGGGAACTGAGCATGATAGTGGGACAGGAGGAAAGTCAAGGGAAATAGAGGAAAGAGATGGGAGGCAAAGGACATTTATAGAGGTCTAGGTAAAGATATGTACATATGCAAATGTATTTATATATGAGGATGGGGAAATAGATCTATGTGCCTATATTTATAGGTTGAGTATTAAGGTGGCAGAAGGACATTGGGCCTCCACTCATGTGGACATTGGGCCTCCACTCTCCCTCAATGCAGAATACTTTCTTCTACTACTTTGGCATTCTATGATGCTCACCTTCCCGATACAACCGCTGAAGACAAAATGGGTGATTAAGCAAATATGGCGAAGAAAGCTGATGGTGCCTGGCTCTCAAAAGGTATAGCATCTGGGGTCTTAAAGGTTTGAAGGTAAACAAGTGGCCAT